TAAGATTTCACTAAAAAAAAAAAGTAATAGGAATTCAACAATGTTTGCTATATTCCATGGTGCTATCTACCTGACAAGATGTCCTGTAGATTTTTAGAAGACTACTTGCATTCAAGAGAAGGAACAGTCTGGAGACAAGGTGATGAGTTTAACCACTATTTCCATGAAGAGGGAAGACTCTGCAGGAGCCTGACCAAGGCAGTGTCTGCAGTCAGCTGCAGGCTGCCGACTGTTCAGGACTGGGGAAGCCAGGTAAGAGCATGGAAAAAGACTCCCTTTGGGTTCCCGGGTGATGAGTGTGCTCATCACTGAGGTAGATGATGCTCACAGATGTTTCAGGAAAAGCACAAGTTGGACTGAAATGCTTGGGGCACATCTTAGCGACAGGTGGGTGATGGCTTGCTTCACATCCTAGACTTCGGGATTCAAGGTTATGCATGCATCCGTGATGGCTGAAGAGGTAAGACAAGCCCTTTGGATGGGGCAGATTCTTGAGATTTCATGTGTGGAACAACGTGTAGGAGTGACAACTAGCCCATTCCACTTGTAGGAATAGGAGCCTCAGGTGGAGTTGAGAACTTACCCCAACTACATTCTTGTTCTCTCTGCCTACCCCTTCAAAATGCTATACAATGCAAATGGTGCACAGGTCACAGAACAAAGGCTATTTGAACCCTGGGGTTCCTTGCCCTGAGAGGAGCCTAGAAAGGGAAGCAGAGTCACTGCCTGTAGCCCTGGCATGCTTACATCCTGCACATCCCAGTGCCAGCCTTCCCAACTCTGCATAACACCGGGCACTTCAATCCAAGAGGCTTGCATATAACAGACACTCCATAAAAGAGGCCCAAGATGTATGAAAGTAATTCACAGATCCATTAAGACCATACTGATTAATACAATACTATGCAATGTATTAATTATTGAAACTGTCCTACTAATTGGTTTTGAAACTGTCTCATTGCTATTTGTTTCTCAATAAAATTATGTTTTAAAAAGTCAGAATGACCCTAAGAGGTAAATGTTTTAAATAGACTTAGCACATCGAGACAGCCAAGGCAGCACAACTAAAGACATTCATGAAAGAGGACTTCCAGCAGTGCTACGGAAAGTGGAAGGATGGTGGGATGAGTGTGTTTGAAGTGATATTTTGTGGGGGTCTCATAGCCATATGTCTTTTACTGTAATAAATTTTTTTAAATGCAAAAAAGACTGTACTGGGGCCAGGGAGATGGCTCAGTAGAATAAGCTTTTGCCTGGTAAGCACAAGGGCCTGAGTTCAATCCTTGGTTCTGAAAAAAAAAGAAAGAAAGAAAGAAAGAAAGAAAGAAAGAAAGAAAGAAAGAAAGAAAGAAAGAAAGAAAGAAGACTGTACTGAGCATCAACATTACCACATCCACATTAAACCTTTCCTCAACAATCCACCTACTTGCTGGATGCAAACATAGTGCTGTTCTGGTATCTCCTCCTCGGACATGATGCCACCATCTGCCTAGTTATATGAGCCAGCGACTTATTCATTCATTCACTGATTAATTCATTCACACAGTATTATTCAAGAAGTTGTGATGTGCCAAGGAACATTCCAGGCAGTGGGGACACAGATTGCTTGACCTCAAGAAGTTCACATTTTACTGGAGAAGATAGGCAATAATCACATCAGTGTATGTCTTTACACTTACTAGCAAGATATTTCAGCAAGGTAAGGAGACAGCACCGGGTTAGATGTTTGAGCAGAAGTCAAGTCAGTGGAGGAATGGGCCACAGGCTGATCCAGAGAAAGGTCACTGAGAAATAGGACTGTTGGGAGTGAATTTGGTAGAGGTCTACTGTCCCTCTTGTTGTTGCTCATGCCCCTCATTGCCCTTATATCCAATCCCTCACCCCTTCCACTTTTCTCTACTCATTCACCACCCTCTTACTTCAAGCTACTGGACTCTCCTGCTTTGATTCTGCACAGCACCTCCTTACTGCTGTCCTGGCTTTCCCATCTGCTCCTTTCCATCTACCCCTCAGGCTGCAGCCAGTGCTCTTTGCAAAATGCATATCTGCGCATGAGGCCTAAACCCCCTCAGAAGTTTCTTACTGTTCATATACATACAGCATCATCCTTCCTTGGCCAGAAAAGCTCAGCAGGGTCCAGCCGCCCCCAGACTCATTTTATAACATCTCCACACCTCAGTCTCTCTCACCCCTGGGGGTAGTGACTTTCTTGCACACACATTTGTACATGCTTGCTACTCTCCCCAACTCAACTTTCCCTTTATAACTTTTGTTTGTTTTGTGGACTGCAGAACATCTAAAGAATTGCTCCCTTGAAATCCAACTTGAACAGCTTCCTTTTTTTAACCTGTTTAGAACAATATATCTCTTTTCCACAGCATGCATGTACACAATCTTTGTCATGATTCTTCAACCGATACTCTGCCTACTTTTAATAACTCCAAAAACTGACATGAGGCTAACATGCTGTAGATTCTCATTTCCTAATAGCTGAATGAATGAATGAATGAATGAATGAATGAATGAATGAATGATGAACTAATGAACAGCAGTTGCTTGTGAGGGAAAGGAAGCACGTAGCTCTCTCCTTGTTGAGAGGCAGAATAAGCTTGGGGACTTGGAGATGGCACATATTATGAATAAGTGAGCTCTGGATCCCAGCCCAGAGCCAAGGATGGCAGAACTACCCACAACCCCAGACCAGACAGAAAGAGGGGGCACTCTTCTGAGAGCAATTCAGCCTGGCACAGAAGCCAACTTCATTTAAAGAGGGATAGCACTTTAATTATCGTGACACTCCAAAGGGCTGATACAGCCGAGAACTAATTGCTGGCAAAGGCTTCATGGGTGAGGTCAAGGTACAAGATAGTGAAGCTGCCAGCATGAAGAAACAATGGCGTGTTGAATTAGTATGCCAGAAACATGCCAAACGTATTCATTGTCTTAATAGCAATGCTAAAATATATTAGATATTTGGGAGTTTATTATTCATATTAGTTATTATATGGAAATCAAATTTTATCTCTAAACTGCAATCAAATGATGTTTTCTATTAAAACTTTAATAGCAGTGCTATGGGTTACATATTAAGAATCTAGTTTGGTTATAACTCAGAATTTTTTTTTATTTTGCTATGAATCATCATGCAAACGAAACAAAATGAATTGAAAAGTCTTTTCTTTGGTGAAACAAACACTTTAAGAGTTCAAAGTAGTAATCTTGTCTCAGTGAAATAAAAAAAGATAAGCATTAATGGAATCAATTCATATTTTAAAAAATAATTTACCTTTTCCCCTATCATGCTGTCCTATAGAATCAAAAATGAGAAAGGTCTATAATAGGTCAATTAACCAAGTATTATGTCAAGATAGAACTGCACACACAAAAGTTACATTTCTTGTTATATAAGTCTTCCTTTACCTTGGTCTTAGCCATCCAGCAGAAAAGTATAAAAACAAGGTATAAGAAGTAAAGCCATATTAGTATGCTGAGCTGTAAAAGGCTCAAGTCAACAACTTCTGACATTGCTAGTCTTGTGGATAACCCACTACTATTATGGACTA